CTGTTGCTGTCAGCATATTCAACTCACCTTTGATATGTAAGTTATATTCTGTAGCGTACCATTATGTACACGTTCGGCTCGGCCTCAAGAGCTTATATGTAAGCGTAGTTAAGTAACATTAACAATGGTGTGCTTTATATACGGAACTTCATTGTTGGGTCATTTATATACGATATGAGCCGCGGTATCTCTAAGCTTATACGCAGTCCACTATCACGATCACGGATAACAGACGGTCATAAGAAACTCATCATTACAATGGCGCTGTGACCACTGCGTATAGAGTATTGTGTTGCATGAGTTATTGTGTATGTCTTGTGTAATGAAAAGTACTAATTTACGTGTTTTCTCTGTGTCGAGTGTACGCGCGTCGTCGATGCTAATCTGACGAGATATTAGACTTCGAAGTGGCTAATCAGAATTTAAGCGTCTTTGTCTACGGCTACCGCCATCGTCGCAACATTAAATTGTGAGTGTATCGTTATATACTTATAGGCTAAAGAGTAAGTCTGCATTATTTCTTTCCCAAAATTACGGCGTTTTTGTTGTGTGCGGGTTCATAGTGTATGTGTAACATTTTGGCTGGTTTTTCATTAACGGATAATTATGGCAAACAAACGGACAAACCCGTTAAATCCCTACCTGTCGGATTCTAATATTGATAAAGCGATAAATGAAGCTAGCGATAATGATAAAGTGCCATTCCCAGAGACAAATATGAATTAAGCATTTATTACGCGAAGTACAATCACTCGTTTTACTTGGGAATTATAAGGTATTTAGCGGGGATGATGACAGCGTTATTGAATTTGGTCAGTGGTTATTGAATTTGAACCAATTGTTTATTATATTAAATTAAAGTGATGAACAGAGACGGGTTAGGTTAGCGTTACGCCTGTTAAGTAATGAGCCCGCACAATGTTTAGCTGAAATTATATCTGTTCATCCGTCCATTTCCTGAAATCATGTTTTGAAAATATTGACGCAGCGCTATACGGATCATTCAGCGATACCGATAGCGCTACAAAAGTTTAAACACGCTCGGCAAAAATCTAATGAAAGTGTACAAGCGTTTGCCAAAAGGGTAGAAGCGTTAGCGCGTACTGCGTTTGGTGTTATTTTTAATTCCGATGTTTATCATAACGCACGAATGATTAACGCTTTTACGGATAGAGTCACTACCAATAATTTGAGACGGGGTTTAGTTCAAAACAAACCAGCCACCTTTGCTAAAGCTGTACAGTTAGCTACCGATCAATCAGCGCTGGACTTAGAAATTAGGATAAGATCACATAATAATAATAATAATAACGTATCAGCCGTTACCGTTCCATTGATGCAACAACAAATTACAAACTTACGAGAGATTGTTGCAGATTTTTAGCGTAAGCAAATGAATAAAACACCTACGAATCAAGTAACAACACGCATTCATGAATATCACCAACCACAATCGCCACGCCATCCCACACAACAAAATAATTCACGCTATCAGCAACCGCAGGCGAACGCACCGCCAGCTACAGCTATAATCCATCGCCGCGTTTTTCTTTGAATTTCACGCCAAACGCGCGACAAGCCGCAAGCTATTTACCACGAACCCCCATGCAACAGTATACAACACGTAACACAGTGTGACGGCGCGGGTGAAACGAGAGTCGGGGAAATAGAGATTCGGGGAGCGAAATTCGGGGATAACGTTCGGGGAAAAAAGTACCAAACACCGAAACCACCGAATACCGAACACGCGAGGTAGTACGGAGCAGCCGAGAGGGTGGCTGACGCGCGCAGTGGACGCGGCGCGAAATAGCGTACAGGGACTAGCATTCGGTCTACGGATAATGATTCGCGAGTGTAAATAGTGTTTGTGGTAGAGTTCGCCGAAGTGTTGATTTAGTGCCACTGCTCAGCGAATAGTTTGTTCGGGGCAAGAGGAGCGGCGAAACAGTAATAGACGTGGAGGGACGCGGTGAAGGAAAGGAGCTAGAAATGGCGAGAAAGGATATTATAATAGAGAGTTCTTCTGCGCAATTTATTGTAATAGTAGGAAGCTTATGCGGGATAGATAAGAACCGTATTCTGGCTTTGTTAAGGCAAACTCTACAACACATGAGTTTGCAGCGTGACCGCTGAGCTGGTAAACAGGAACAGCCAATCACGGGGCTCGACCTGTGAGCGATCGATCAGTTGATCACGTGTTAGGTGGGCGTACGTGACAGAGCGGCCGTGCCACGTAGCGTGCGCTGTAATAGGCTACTGAGGGCTGACTCATGAAGCAAGACGCCGCGAGCGTGATTTTTTTTCCTGGGTGATTAACAATTAATTTTTACAACAATTATAAATTAAATTTTTTATATATTTTTTTAAATGGGGTTTGGGTTAGAGTTAGGATTAGGGTTAGGATTAGGGTCACAATGCAGTGAATGCACCATAAAACAGGAGTTTGAGGCACGTGATTTGTATCAACGGCAGCGCTCGTTAGAGTCCTATGTTCTTGATTCACCTAGGGAAAAAAATCACGCTTCCCGCGAGGGTGTAAGATGGCACCGCGCGCCTGAAACGAGAGGAGCAGTAGAAGATAAGCAGCAGTAGAAGATAATGGAGCAGTAAAAGATAAAGCAGTAGAAGATAGGCAGATAGAGATAGACAGATAGATAGATACAGATAGGGGACTTACTTACAGGCTTTTCTAGAGACTTAATCCTAGGAGAGACTTCTAGAGGCAGAGGGTTTGTGTAGGAAGTTATCCAGGAGCCTACTGATGTGTATTTTGAAGTTTAGCGAGTTACTCGTAACGTTGAGCGAGTAAACTATTGTGCGGGAGATATTTCTGGAATTAACACCAGCGCCGAAACGAGTGAATACGACCCAGAAAGCTCTTTGAAAGCTGCTCGTTTGACTACCGGTGCGCGCAGTGTGTATCTTCCCTATTCTTTCGTTGTGTTGTAATAAACGTCATTCACTCTTACCACTTTTGCCTGCGCCTTCATTTCTCCTCACGTCTACACGTCAATCTTACCGCCGAGGAAGGGTACGCCTGTAACCGTACGCATCCTCACACCATCTCATAAGTCTTACACAACGCACGCGCGGGAGAGAAATCTTTCGCGTGAAGGGGTACTACCAACGCAGCGAATACTACCGACGCAGCGAACACTACCAAAGAAGATCGTTTTAGAAGCGGCGATTCTACTTGCGAAGCTGCGCGCACCTTTCGGGGAGCGGAACATCTGACACCGAAAAGTTTGGCGAGCGAACTGCGCGCAGGGCGCGGCAGAGAAGAGGCCGACGCCGTTACAACAGTAATAACACCGAGAAGTAACACGCAATATATGTACACACCGCAGGGAGTTCCGATATGTGCTTTATGCGGGGAGAGCGGGCACATTTGGTTTCATTGTCTTATGAAGCAACGCAGTAATAATATTAATGCGACGTTTAATAATTATCAGCTAAATTCCAACGCTGCCTTCAAACCCCAGAGACGCTGAGAGTAGCAACATTGCTGAAGTCTCACGCAAAAACGTTTGCAATCACGCACGACACCAATAACAACACAGCGCCATCTTGTGAAATGTTAGTGGGTAAAATTAGAATAAATGCGTTGTTAGATATTCGAGCAACAGTGAGTTTAGTTAATGATCAGTTATGGACCCAGTTAGAACTAGTATATCGAGATTCCTTTGTCGCAGGTTCCACGCAAATTTTACGATCTGCTTCGGGGGATGATTTGTATGTATTAGGCAGTGTAAAACTCGTAATTAAGATAGCGCATTATAAGATTCTCCATGTCTTTTATATAGTTAAAAATGTAGAGCATAGAGTGTTGTTAGGGCATTATTTCTTTAAAGCGCATAGAATTAATTTGGATTTTTAACTAGACAAACTAACCGTTAATAATAGGTCTATTAACATAGATAAATATGCGCCCACATCGATTTCTCACATACGGGTATAATTCGCAGTCACAACACTGCCTAAGGGTTCTCAAACTTGTCTAGTTAATTACAGAAACCGGCAGCAGAAGTCTAATAGATTATACGCTAATGTGTCATTACATAACCCGGAGTTAGAGTCGCGCTATTTACGGAAGGGTGCCATTATGCAGTTGACCACTTTCTCACGCGCCGGTCGCAAACCGACGCCAAGTAATAATCCACGCATTGTCCAAACTTCGCAGATACTAAGTGTGGACAGTCGCAGATTGCGAGCTGCTATCGACTCGCGCCTACGAATAATAAAGTTTCTATACAGGTCAGCAAGCAGCTGGGCATTCCAAGACTGGCAACAATGATTCCCACGATCCCAGGTGTTACGTCCACGAATTATCGTCAAAGTTCTATACAAGTAGGTATAGACAGCTGGTCGCACCTAACCGGCACACAGCAAGGTCGCAGCCGCAGCTGCCTATTGTACGTGCTAATGACCGAGACACTTGTAAATCGGGCGCTAATTATTGAGCGAACGGGTTGATGCCGGTGATTAATCAGTCTAGTGTATTAGCGCCAAGTGCTAGGGCATCTGCTAATGGGCAACGCTATTTTAGGGATGGAGAACAAATGACCCAGGCGCTTACTAATTATGTTGATTTTGCAATAGGAACAGCCGCGCATGCGAACGGGTGCGCGCATGAAACTTGTTTAAGGCGCAAACAGCGCGCTAGCGTAAACAAAGGCTTTTGTACACAGCCAGCTGCGAAGTTCACGGATACACGACGTCAGCACATTGAATTCTTAACTAATAAGTCTATTTTATTAACAGATCAGGAAAAAGCCGTTAATAACGCAGTTGATTACGATACGGATATAGGCATGCTAGGAAGCAGTGCGTTTATGAAGTCGCCACAAGCTGGGGAACGACCTAGGCACGACACGTGACTTGTAATGCAAGTAGAGAAAATGCCTACCACATCAACTACTAATAATAGTGGTAATAATAACAATATTCTTTTAAACTAGAAACGGCACGGAATAGCGATGGCGGTGGTAGTGACACGGACATACAAAATACTAGCTGTTGTAAAACATCATGTACACAAGCATGCAGCGTAAGCACCTCCCATTCTTCCCTCCACCTTCTCCTCCTCCACCTCCTCTACCTCCTTCCTCCACCTTCTTCTTCTTAACTTTCTCCCCATGCTCCTCTACTTCCTCCCGCCACCCTCTCTTCCTCCGTCTTCTCCACCTCCCCCTTCTCCCTTCAACTTCTCCTCCTCCATCTCCTCTACCTCCTCTACCTCTTCCCTCCACCTTCTCCTCTACTTTCTCCTTATGCTCCTCTACCTCCTATTTCTACCTCCTCATCCTCCACCTTCCCTACCTCCTCCTCCACCTTTTCCCCACCTTCTCCCCCTCTTCCTGCACCTTCTCCCCCTCTTCCTGCAATTTATCCCCCTTCTCCTCTACCTGCTCCCTCCACCTTCTCCTCATCCAGCTTCTCTCTTCCTCCTCTCTCCACCTTCTCCTCATCCACCTTCTTCCCATCCTCTACCTCCTCGCTCTACCTTCTCCTCCTCCTCTCCTTTTCCCCCCTCCTCCTCTACCTTCTCCCTCCAACTTCTTCTTCTCCACTTTCTCCTTGTGCGCCTCTACCTCCTCTCTCCACCTTCTCCTCATCCTCCACCCCCTCCTCCACCTTCTCTCCTCCTCCTCCACCTTCACCCCTTCTTCTCCACTTTATCCCCTTCTTTCTCCACATTCGCCCCCTCTTTATCTATCTTCTCCCGCTCCGCTTCTAACTCCTTCCTCCACCTTCTTCTCACCCACCTTCTCCCCTTCTTCTACTTCCTCCCTCCACCTTCTCCTCCTCCTCTCCCTTCTCCCCATCCCCCTCTACCTTCTCCCTCCACCTTCTCCTTCTCCTCTACCTCCCCCTCCTTCTCTACCTCTTCCATCCACCTTCTCCTCATCCACCTTCTCCATTCATCCACTTCCTCCCTCTACCTTCTCCTCCCCCTCTTTCTTCTCACCATCCTCCTCTACCTCCTCCCTCCACCTTCTCCTCCTCTTCCACCTCCCCTCCTTCTCTACCTCCTCCCTCTATCTTCTCCTCTACCTTCTTTTCTTTCATTCTTTCCCCATGCTCCTCTACCTCTTCCCCCACCTTCTCCTCCTCCACCTTCTTCTCCTCCACCTCCTCCTTCCACCTTCTCTTTATCTACCTCCGCTACCTCCTCCCTCTACCTTCTCCTCCTCCACTTTCTCCCCATGCTCCTATACCTCCTCTCTCCGCCTTCTCTTCCTTTACCTCCTCTACCTCCTTTCTCCACCTTCTCCTCCTCTACTTTCTCCCTATGCTCCTCTACCTCCTCTCTCCGCCGTCTCTTTTTCCTCCACCTCCTCCTCCTCCACCTCCACCTTCTCCCTTCCTCTTCCATCTTCTTCCCCTATTTCTCCCCCTTCTCCCTCTCCTCCTCTACCTTCTCCCCCTCCTCCACTACCTCATCCCTCCACCTTCTCCTTATCCACCTTCTCCCCCTCCTCTACCTCCTCTCTCGGCTGTCTCTTTTTCCTCCACCTCCCCTCCTCCACCTCCACCTTCTCCCCTTTTCTTCCATCTTCTTTCCCTATTTCTCCACCCTCTCCCTCTCCTCCTCCACCTTCTCCCCCTCCTCCACTACCTCATCCCTCCACCTTCTCCTTATCCACCTTCTCCCCCCTCCTCTACCTCTTCCCTTCACATTCTCCTCCTCCTCTACTTCCTCCCTCTACCTCCTCCCTCCACCTTCTCCTTTTCCTCCACTTCTCCCTCTTTCTCTACTTCCTCTCTTTACCTTCTCCTCATCCACCTTTTCCCTTCCTCCTCTACCTCCACCTTATCCTCCTCCTCCACCTTCTCCACCTCTCCCTCTTCCTCTACCCCCTTCCAGTGTAAGTTTCCACACAAGATGACTCGTGCGATGCAGATAATTAAATGCATTATGAATTTTAATAAAAATACGTAATGCATTTAATTATAGGAATATATTATAGGTTATTTAGTTATAAATTTATATTACAAGTAGAAAAGTAAAATAAATGTATCATAAGCATCAACGCCTTTAGATGGTGGTTTTAGTTCCGACAAGTAGCTCGACAACGTTCATACGAGTCCGATTCTCTGATAATTAGATATCGGCAAAAAGTAAAATAATATAGTGACTCTCATAATGCGATTCGCACATCCCAAAAAACAACCCGCTCACTGTCGCACGGTGAGTGCTCTATGTTCCGACACCCCTATGTTCCGACTATGTTCTACCTTCTCCCCCTCCTCCTCTACCTTCTCTCCCTCCTCTTCTACTTCCTTCCTCAACCTTCTCCCCCTCCTCTACCTCCCCCCTCCACCTTCTCCTTTTCCTCTCCCTTCTCCCCATCCTCCTCTACCTCCTCCCTCTACCTTCTTCTCCTCCTCCACCTCCCTCTCCTTTTCTACCTCCTCCCTCCACTTTCTCCTCTACCTCCTCCCTCAGCCTTCTCCTGTACATCCTCCCTCCACCTTCGCCTCTACCTCCTCCCTCCATCTTCTTCTCCTCCACCCTTTTCTCTACCTCCTCCCTCCACCTTCTTCTCCTCCACTTTCTCCCCATGCTCCTCTACCTCCTCCATCCACCTTCTCCTCCTCCACTTTCTTCAACTCCACCTCCTCCCTCCACCTTCTCGTCATCCACCTCCTCTACCTTCTCCCTCCACATTCTTTTCCTCCACTTTCTTCCCATGCTCCTCTACCTCCTCTCTCCACTTTCTCCTCCTCCTCCACCTCCCTTCATTTTCTACCTCTTCCATCCACCCTTTCCTCTACCTCCTCCCTCCACCTTCTCCTCTACCTCTTTTCTCCACCTTATCTTCCTCCACCTTCTCCTCTACCTCCTTTCTCCACCTTCTTTTTCTCCACTTTCTCCCCATGCTCCTCTACCTTCTCCTCCTCTACCTTCTCCTCCTCCCCCTCTTCTCTCCACCTTCTTCTCATCTACTTGCTCTACCTTCTCCATCCACCTTCTCCTCCTCCACTTTCTCCCCATGCCTCTCTACCTCCTCTCTCCACCTTCTCCTCATCCTCCACTTCCACTTTCTCCCTTCCTCCTCCACTTTTCCCCTTTCTTCCTCCACCTTCTCCCCTCTTCCTCCACCTTCTCCTCCTCTCCTCTACCTCCTCCTTCCAGTTTCTCCTTCTCATCCACCTCCCTCTCCTCTACCTCTTTTCTCCACCTTCTCTCTTCCTTCTCTACCTCTTCCCTCCACCTTCTTCTCCTCTACTTTCTTCTTAGGCTACTCTACCTCCTCTCTCCACCTTCTCCTCGTCCTCCATTTCCCCCTCCCTTACCTTCTCCCCTTCTTCTCCACCTTCTTCCCCTCTTCTTCCACCTCTAACTCCTTCCACCACCTTTTCCTTATCCGCCTTCTCCCCTTCTTCTACCTCTTCCCTCCACTTTCTCCTCCTCTTCTCCCTTCTCTCCATATTTCTCTACATCTTCCCTCTACCTTTTCCTCCTCCTCCACCTCACCCTCCTTCTCTACCTCCTCTCTCCACCTTCTCCTCATCCACCTTCTCCTCATCCACCTTCTCCATTTTTTATCTACCACTACCTTCTCCTCCTTCTCTTCTACCTCATCCCTTTACCTTTTTCTCATCCACCTTCTCCCCCTCCTCTACCTCCATCATCCACCTTCTCCTCATCCACCTTCTCTTCTACCTCTTTCTTCCAGCTTCACCTCTACCCCATCCTTCCACCTTCTCCGCTACCTCCTCCCTTGACCTTCTCCTCTACCTCCTCCCTCCACCCTCTCCTCTACCTTTTCCCTCCACCTTCTTCTCCTCCACTTTTTCCCAATGCTCCTCTACCTCCTCCCTCCACCTTCTCTTCCTCCACCTTCTTCACCTCCCCCTCCTCCCTCCACCTTCTCATCATCCACCTTATCTACCTCCTCCCTCCACCTTCTCCTCCTCCACTTTCTCCCCATGCTTCTCTACCTCCTCTTTCCACCTTTTCCTTCTCCTCATCATCCACCTCCCCCTCCTCCTCCTTCACCTTCTCCCCTCCTCTTCTACTTTCTCCTCCTTTTTCTCCACCTTATCCCTCTTCTCCTCCAACTTTTCTCCCTCTCCTCTGCCTCCTCCCTCTACCTTCTCCTCATCCACATTCTCCCCCTCCTCTACCTCCTCCATCCACCTTCTCCTCCTCCTCTCCCTTCTTTGCATCCTCCTCTATCTCCTCCTTCCACCTTCTCCTTCTCCTCCACCTCCCCCTCTTTCTCTACTCCCTCCCTTCACCTTCTCCTCATCCACCTTCTCCCTTCCTCCTCTACCTCTACCTTATCCCCCTTCTCCACCTTCTCCACCTCCCCTTCCTCCTCCTCTACCCTCTTCCAGTGTACGTTTCCACACAAGATGACTCGTGCGATGCAGACTGTATGTACTTTTATTAAGATTCATAATGCATTTAATTATAGGAATATATTATAGGTTATTTAGTTATAGAGTTATATGACAAGTAGAACGGTACAATAAATGTATCATAAGCATCGACGCCTTTAGCTGGTGGTTTTATTTCCGGCAAGTAGCTCGACAGCGTTCATACAAGTCCGATAGATAAGGTGACTTTCTCTGGTAATTATAGATATCGGCAGAAAGATAAATAATATAGTGACTCTCATAATGCGATTCACATGCACATCCCAAAATACAACCCGCTCACTATTGCACGGTAAGTGTTCTATGTTCTGACACCCCTATGTTCCGACTATGTTCCACCTTCTCCCCCTCCTCCTCTACCTCCTGCCTCTACCTTCTCCTCATCCACCTTCTTTCCCTTATCTACCTCCGCCGTCCACCTCTCCTCTACCTCTTTTCTCCACCTTCTCTCTTCCTTCTCTACCTCTTCCCTCCACCTTCATCTCCTCTACTTTCTTCTTAAGCTCCTCTACCTCCTCCCTCCACCTTCTCCTCTACCTCCTCCCTCCACCTTTTCCTCCTCCATCTTCTCCTCTACCTCTCCCTCCACGTTCTTCTCTTCCACTTTCTC